TCTTCATCATCTGGACCCATGGAAAAGAAGCCCTTGAGGAATTCCACCATGATTTCAACAATTTCCATCCCACCACCAACCTCAGCCTGGTCCAGTCCACACAAGAGATCCACTTCCTGGACACTACAGTGCTAATAAACGATGGCCACATAAACACCACCCTATACCGGAAACCTACTGACCGCTATTCCTACCTGCATGCCTCCAGCTTTCACCCTGACCACACCACACGATCCATCGTCTACAGCCAAGCTCTGCGATACAACCGCATTTGCTCCAACCCCTCAGACAGAGACAAACACCTACAAGATCTCTGTCAAGCTTTCTTACAACTACAATACCCACCTGCAGAAGTAAAGAAACAGATTGATAGAGCCAGAAGAGTTCCCAGAAGTTACCTACTACAGGACAGGCCTAACAAAGAAAATAACAGAACGCCACTAGCGGTCACCTTCAGCCCCCAACTAAAACCCCTCCAACGCATTATTAAGGATCTACAACCTATCCTAAAGGATGACCCAACACTCTCACAAGTCTTGGGAGACAGGCCAGTCCTTGCCTACAGACAGCCCCGCAACCTGAAGCAAATACTCACCAACAACCACATACCACACAACAGAACCACTAACCCAGGAACCTATCCTTGCAACAAAGCCCGTTGCCAACTGTGCCCACATATCTATTCAGGGGACACCATCACAGGGCCTAATAACATCAGCCACACTATCAGAGGCTCGTTCACCTGCACATCCACCAATGTGATATATGCCATCATGTGCCAGCAATGCCCCTCTGCCATGTACATTGGTCAAACTGGACAGTCTCTATGTAAAAGAATAAATGGACACAAATCAGATGTCAAGAATTATAACATTCATAAACCAGTCGGAGAACACTTCAATCTCTCTGGTCACGCAATCACAGACATGAAGGTCGCTATCTTAAAACAAAAAAACTTCAAATCCAGACTCCAGCGAGAAACTGCTGAATTGGAATTCATTTGCAAATTGGATACTATTAATTTAGGCTTAAATAGAGACTGGGAGTGGCTAAGTCATTATGCAGGGTAGCCTGTTTCCTCTTGTTTTTTCCTATCCCCCCCCCCCCCCAGATGTTCTGGTTTAACTTGGATTTAAACTTGGAGAGTGGTCAGTTTAGATGAGCTATTAGCAGCAGGAGAGTGAGTTTGTGTGTGTATGGGGGTGGGGGGATGTGAGAACCTGGATCTATGCAGGAAATAGCCCGACTTGACTATGTAAAGAGTTGTCACTTTGGATGGGCTAGCACCAGCAGGAGAGTGAATTTGTGTGGGGGGGTGGAGGGTGAGAAAACCTGGATTTGTGCTGGAAATGGCCCACCTGTTGATCACTTTAGATAAGCTATTACCAGCAGGACAGTGGGGTGGGAGGAGGTATTGTTTCATATTCTCTGTGTGTATATAAAGTCTGCTGCAGTTTCCACGGTAAACATCTGATGAAGTGAGCTGTAGCTCACGAAAGCTCATGCTCAAATAAATTGGTTAGTCTCTAAGGTGCCACAAGTACTCCTTTTCTTTTTGCGAATACAGACTAACACGGCTGTTCCTCTGAAAGCTCAAAAGTTGTTATGCTGAGGCTGACTTTGCTTGCACATCTGCCGTCCACAAGCCTCACTGGCCTCAATTCCTCAACCCCCATAACCTCACAGAATCACATCCTCCCTGTGAGTTGTTCTTTTCTGATTTTTTTGCTTCCAGCTATCGCAAAGCAGACTTGCAGAATACATGCAGTCCTATTTCCGATCGCCTGAAACATACCAGCCTTGGAGCATCCTGCTTTATGGCATGACAGGAATTTTACCTGCATCTAATTTGTACACAGAAATTGGGAGGCTAAATCATTTGCAAATCAGAGTAATAAGTGGTGACTAAATCTGGTGCCTCTCTGTTTGTTAGGCATTTTAGACTAATGCTGTAGGATGTGTGTATATAACAGAAATGGTTCAGCAGCTTTTCCCAAAGAATGGCATCTTATTACAAACATCACACCACACCCTATACAGAAAGAAAAGGAGTACTTGTGGCACCTTAGAGACTAACCAATTTATTTGAGCATGAGCTTTCGTGAGCTACAGCTCACTTCATCAGATGTATACCGTGGAAACTGCAGCAGACTTTATATACACACAGAGAATATGAAACAATACCTCCTCCCACCCCACTGTCCTGCTGCAGGACAGTGGGGTGGGAGGAGGTATTGTTTCATATTCTCTGTGTGTATATAAAGTCTGCTGCAGTTTCCACGGTATACATCTGATGAAGTGAGCTGTAGCTCACGAAAGCTCATGCTCAAATAAATTGGTTAGTCTCTAAGGTGCCACAAGTACTCCTTTTCTTTTTGCGAATACAGACTAACACGGCTGTTCCTCTGAACCCTATACAGAGTGTTTCAAACTTTTGTGACTGATAAGTAATGACTTTTGGGATTAAATCATGCTTGCCTGACTCATGTGGTTAGTTCCACAGAAGTCACTAGGCCAGATTCCCTACGTGGTGTAAATCTGCACACCTCCATTGACTTCAGTAGTCACTTCAAGGAAGGGTGCTGTCCCAAAGCGAATAAGGTGGGTAGGATTTGGCCACTGGGATGTGGTCTTGTTTCTGGTGAACTCAGTTGGAGTTTTGTGGCTCACTTTAAAGGAAGCAAGTAGACCCCACTGAGCTACCTGATCCTGTAAGTTCCTGTACACCTGCAGAGCCCACTGAAATCACAGGAGTGGGTGCTTAGCACCACCCAGACCCAAGCCCCTGGGTTGGATTTCAGCTGGTGTTTTAGAGGTGGAAAAACTTAATATCCCACTGGCAATCTGCTTGAGCTACACCATCCCTTTGTGTTGCCAGTTTTGATACCTGGTGATTTTTCTCAAAACTCCAGCTCCTGGAGTCATGTGGTTAAAGAATTTTAGCTTTAATTTTTTTAAAAGTAACTTCCTAGCCCTCATGATTGCAGAGAGGAGCTTGAACACGTGAAGCCTAAACTCCAAAACCAGAAAATAAAAAAAAAAAGTATCCAAACTTTCTGAATTTTTTTTAGCAAATCTGATAATTTTTGGACACTTGGGGTTGACAATACTGACCCCTGCTGATAGTTGAATCCAAAAATGTGTGTATGTATACAAGCTTAAAAAACATAAGGCAAATAAAAACCTCAAATGTATTATTTTTAAAGGAAAATGTCCACTTTTAAAAGCCATTTTCATTACTCTTAGGACTTGATTCATGATCTTTTAGTGCTGGGGGGTGAGATTGGGACTCATTGCATGTGCCACTCATTGCATGTCCAAACACAAAGTAGAAGCCAGTCTCTGTCCTGACGAGCTTACAGTAAAGACAAGATGCAACAATTGGTAGGGAAACAATGATAAAATCATGATGGTGTCTCTTAAATTATATGCTGGGTTACAAAGGAAAAAGTGATAAGCATATTGTTTGAATAGGCACTTTTATTGTTCCCTCTTGTTTTAGTGCATCTGCAGAGCAGGTGGCAGTTACATCCCTGAACACCCAAGGTCAACAAACTAACCTGGGTTTGCTACCTTTCAAAAATGGTAGATACACAAACATTTAAAACTGAGTCTGTAAATAACTTAATTACAAAGAAATCCTGAAGGCCTGCATAGTCTGCCATTCCACATACCTATCTACAATAGTACGAAGGTGCCACTAGGTGGTGCAATGGAGCTAGTGCATTGGGGCTCATCTCTGGGATTCAAATCATAGCTTAGGTGGCAAATAAATATTAGTGTGGTGTACAGTCACGACAGTCTGCAACACCGTTCAGAATACTAGCAGTTTCAGCTGAAATGAGACCTGGGATTACAAGGACAGGTGAGGAGGTTTGAGGTGCACTGACATAACTATCTTGGGGACCTGGGTCTGGTGTTGTAAATCAGGATCAAGGAGAGTGTAAACTCAGGACTGGAACATCCAGGAATATTGTAGAGACTTGGCAGAGCTGGATGAAGATCCATGAGTGGAATAACTGGAGGTATTAACATAGGTCACTTCTGTGGTGCATGGGCAGATGCGAAGGGAGCCCAGGATTTGAACATCAGATTGAGCATGTGTCAGGATTGGGATGTATAGGCCAAGCCCTGTGTGGGTACTCAGGACAAGAAGGGGTCAGGAGGAAGTGCAACTCAGGAGTAGAGAGCACAGGAAGAGCTGAGTATGTGCCCAGCACTAGAAAAGCATAGGGGCTGTAAGTCAGTAGGGTGGGGTGCTGGCAGAGCTATGTGGGTGCCCAGCACTGGAATAGCAGGGGGGCTGTTCGGCTGGAGGTGCACTGGCAGGGCTGTGGGGGTGCGCAGGCCTAGGATTGCAGGGATCTGTGGGTCAGAAGGAGGTGCAGTGGCAGGGCTCTGGGATTGCAGGGATCTGTGGGTCAGGCTGGGATTGTTAAACACTGGGATTGCAGGGGGCTGTAGGTCAGGCTGGGGGGTGCACTGGCAGGGCTGGGTCGGTGGGTGTGGGTCTGGCTCTGGGATTGCAGGGATCTGTGGGTCAGGCTGGGGGGTGCACTGGCAGGGCTGGGTGGGTGGGTGTGGGTCTGGCTCTGGGATTGCAGGAGAGTGTGGGTGCACTGGCAGAGCTATGTGAGTGCCCGGCAGTGGGGCTGTAGGTCAGCCTGGGGGTGCACTGCCAGGGATAGAGGGTGCCAAGCACTGGGACTGCAGCGGCCTGTGTGGGCACTGGTAGGGGGCGAGTAGTGCGCGGGGCGCTTGCCCAGCGCGGACCCTGCGGACCCCTGGCGGCGCGGCGCTGCGCCCCTGTGCTCAGGCTGCAGCAACCTGCGCGCGCCCGCCCCCGTCCCCGTCCCCGTCACGCGCCCCCCGCCTCGGCAGCACAGTCAAAATTCACAGGACCAAGAAGACGGGAGTCCCGTCGGCGGCCAATCAGCGCGGACGTCTGATCGGCCAATGGGAGGGCGGCTTACAGAGGCGCGTGGTGCGTGCCCCCGCGAAGGAGGCTCCGCGGCAGAGCGGAAGGTGCCCGGCTGGGGACGCGCTGCGGGAACTTTTCTCCTCAGCCGCCGCCGGCCTGTCACTCGCGCGCCGCGCATGGAGCGGCCCCACGGCGGGGAGGCTGCGGGGGCGCCGAGCCCCGCGGCGGGGTGCTGAGGCGGGGAGACCCCCCCCTCCCTCCCCGGGGGTGGAGCGAGCGGGGTAAATGCTCTGGCTCCACGGGCCGCTGCGGAGTCACGCCGGAGTCACTCGCGGCTCGTCACGCACCGTCCCCGCGGCAGGGTGAGTGAGCGGGCGGCGCGCCCTGGCTTCCCCCCTCCGGGGGCGGCGAGCGCGGCTCGGGTCTGGGGGCGTCGCGTGTCCCGGGGAAGGAGGGGAGACCCCCCCCGCCCCGCCCCGGATCCGCCTGCGGGCTCCGTGCGGGCGGAACGGGGCGGCCCCCGGCCGGGTGTCTGCGGCTGAGCGGGCTGGCCGGCTGGTCTCCGCCCCGGCCCGGGGGGGCCGGCTGGAGGCGATGGGCGGGGGACCTCCCTGTCCATCCGCTGGGCAACTTCCACTGCCAAGGCCCCCTCCGGCCTGTGCGCTGCCCGCCGATCGGCCGCCCCCGGGAGTGGGGTGGGGGGGCGTGAGCGTGGGTCTGAAATGCCCGTCTAGGGGCGGGACAGGTATTCCCAGTGGTTAGATCCTGCCTCAGTGCTGGGCTGTGGGGCGGCGCTGGGGGGGACCCTCGGCTTGAAAAATCCTCCTCCCTGTGAGGAGGTTTGTGGTGCTCAGCTGAAATCTCGCTGCCTTGTTCGGGTTCTTGTACCTTGCCCGTCACCATGGTGTCTAAGGCCTGGTCTGCACCGGAAAATGAAGTCTGCTTAAGTACAGTGCTCAGGGGTGTGAAAAAGCCACCTTTTCGAGTGGCACAGTTAAGCCAGCGTAAATCCCCGTATAGATAGCTGTCGGTTCACAGAGGAATTCTTCCATCCGTCTAGCTACCGCCTCTTCCGGGAGGATTATCTGCACCAACAGGAGAACTCCTCCTGTTGGCATAGGTAGTGCCTGACTCCACACAGAAGCACTGTAGCTGTGCAACTGTCGTGTTTCAAGTGTAGACAAGTCCTAAGTGCTTGTCTCTCTTTTATGCTGTGTTATAGGAGTTGCATTTCACAGCTACGTAATCGTTAAAACCGTTGTTAGTCTGAGGGCTGGCCCTTTCTGGCTATGTGTGCAGTGCCCAAACTCCCACTGACCCCACAAGAGTGGGCTCTTACTTGAGCCCAATCCTGGAAACTGTTCCATGGAGGCACAATAAGGCTCTGTGCATCCATATGGAGCAGGTTGGAGGAGAGGGGCTTGGTGTAGAATGGAGAAAGAGGGATATCAGTGGAAAGTGTTGTAGGCAATTGGTATTAAATTCAGTCCTAGTGTAAACAAGCATAGCTGTCATTTTAGATGATGACTATTCAAGTGATTTATGCTAAGACCAAACTTATTCTTCTGTTTTCTAGGTCGTTTATCAGGTTCAGAGCAGCTTATAGAGTAAATGATCTCTATCAGCTGCCCCCTCCCTCCTGAATACTGGCCTTTGGAAAAACTTTTATTTTTACTTTCTCAGTTCACTCTGATTTTTAGAAATACAATCCCATCTCTTCCATCATATGTATTCCTCACTGCAGGAGAAGAAGTGCAATGCAAAGAGTCCCATATGCAAGATGCTCAGATGTCCAGGGAAGGATTATAGATGGGTGTATAATATGACAAATGCTCTGGTCACCATCCTGCTTCCATTGAACTCAAGAAGGAACTTTTCTGTAGACTGCAGTGGGAGCAGGACTGAGATTTAATTTCATATTTAGGTCCGTATCCTGAACAGTGTAGCCTGCTGTGTAGATGCAGCATTCTGCCCATGTTCCACATAGGGCACGAACAGGGCCACAAATTCAAATGCTGTTAAAATATATATTATCTTACTGGTAGTACTAATATGTAGTACTGTTCATACACAAGCTCTTTATGAGGATTGATTAATTAAGATATGTTGCTGAGACTATTCCCATTCTCTCCACTCACCACCACCCCAAAAAGAGGGGCAGGGGAGAAAAGTGACAAAGACCAATAATTATTTTGGTAAATTTCCAAGTATAGACAAAACTTCAGATATTGAGGTGGAGGAGGGGTGTGTGTGTGGGTGTGTGTAATTTTTTATACTACAATAGCATCTGGAAGTCTAAGAAAAGATCAATGCTCCATTGTGCCTAGGTACTTTACAGACACACACAGATGGTTCCTCCCCAAAGAATTTGCAATCTAAACAGACAAGATGGACAAAGTGTGGGAGAGACATTATTGTTCCCATTTTACAGAGAGGGGAACAGAGGCACAGAGTGATTAAGGCTCAGATGGTGCAGTAAGTTCTGTATAACCCACTTGAAGCCCTGCTAATTTCAGTGTGGGTCTGCATTCTTGGTGTCTGCTCATGGCGAGATTATTGCATGGTTGGGGGTCTTTTATGTGATTTGCCTAGGTCACTCAGGGAGCTGAGAATTGAATCCAGATCTCCTGAGTCACAACCCAGTGCCTTGGTCCTAGTTCACTGTCTTGATTACAAGACTATCCTTTCTCATCCTAGATACATATATACATTCTACTTATTAAAGGGAGAGAGTGCTGTCTACTGGTTAGAGCAGGGGCCTGAGAGGTGGAGCTCCTGAGTTTTCTTCCTGATTTTGCCAATAACTTGTCCTGTGGCCTTGGGCAAGTCACTTTATATTTCTGTCTCAGATCCCCCATCTGTAAAATGGAGATGACACCTGCCTATCTTGCAGAGGGTGGTATTATGGTTGGTTAATGATCATAGGCTGAACGTTCTGCGCAAGTTAAAAATGGCTGTTAGTGTGTGAACCAGGCCTGTCTTATTTTGTTTAATCCTCTTGTCCCCCAAAATCACCCTATTTGCATTCTAAATGACAGATGAAGAGGAAAGTTATTCTGACATCCAGGTCACCAAGTGGAAAGGAAACTGGAACGAGAGACTGTGGCCATTTTGGCTGAATGCACTGAGGAAAGTGATGCTTCTGTTAGTGGAAATCTTGGATACAAGCAGAGTGGGGGAAAATAATTCTAGACTCCCTGAACAGCAACCCCCTGCGGTAGTACATGGAAGCCCCCCAGGAGGGAACAGGCCCTATTGTGTTGGGTGCTGTACACAAATATAACGACAAAATAGACTATGCGGGGCGGGAATTAAATTGCTGTGTAATAGACTTGAGTATAAGTGCTGCATTCTGTAACACTGCTGCACTGTTGCATGGTTTAAGCCCCCCGGTGTTGTGTGAAGTTTACTTAACATAAGGGAAAACAAATAACAAATGGCTTGAATTAGGGGGCCAGATTCTCATCTGGTATAATTCAGTATGGTTCCCACTGATTTATGCCAGCTGAGAATGTGGGCCTCGGAACCCAACCCTGAGAGGTGCTGGGGACCTACATCTCCTGTGGAAGTCAATGGAGAACCATGCTGACTGCACCAGATAAGGATCTGGCCTTTTATTTTTAAAATCCCCCCGCTCCACCCCACCCCAAAGATACAAAATTTAAAACCTGGAGGTGAGAAGAGACCTGTAGAATTCTGTCAAACATAGCTGATGTCTGCTAAATAGTACGTTTTCCATAGGGTAGATCTCTCCCTACCTGCCTTGGGAGGTGGGATGGGGGTGTGCATGCATATGTAATGTAGTATTAACTGCTCCAAACTTCTGTAAGTAACGCTGGCTTTTGCTCTCCCACGCCTTGGTGGAAAGCCCCAGCTCAGATGAAGATCTGCTTATTTCTGATCATCTGGGATGTCACCAAGAATGGAAAATGTGACAGGAAGGAAGGGAGGCTTTTTTCTCCTGCTAAATACGGAGTGACATTAAAATCTGGAAATAGCAGATATCGGTGTGAAAAGAATCCTGGCCCATTTTAATCTTGCTTCCATTTTAACTAGATCCCAGTGGTTCTTTTGTAAGGTGAGGGGAGTGAAGGAGGGCCCTATGCTTTGCTCAGCCACTTTGCTGGGTTTTTTGTTCCAAACTGGAAGATGCTAACCCTGCTATGGGCCTCTAGAGCTTAATTCAGTTCTGTCCTAGAGGCTGAGTGCTCTTCCAGTTTTGAAATCGTTGTGTGTGTTAGCAAGAGAGAGAGGGTTCATTTCTATCTGCTGTTGATTAATAGTTTGCTGAGAGCATTCAGGAAGCTCTGGAAATGTTTTTGGGTTTTCTCTTCTGTTTGTTTGGTGATTTCTAGAAGAGAAAGAATAATGGTAGAGAGGGTGGCATGCATGTTAGCTAGAACCTGCAATGCTTAGTGCTACAGAACAATCTGACAGATACGTAAAAGCAATGTTGTCCTTCCTGCAGAGAAGTTTTTCTTTTGCTCTGTGTGTATTAGCCAAAATATATTACATTTTTAAAATGTTATACTGCAGATCAACAAGAGCTGCCTAGGTCCCAGCTCTGTGCATGGGACAAAGGGGATTAGGAATTAAACATGCAATCGAACTGCGGCTCCTCTTTTCCTTTTTAATTTTAACTGCAATTGCTCCAGCGTGCTCATAGCAAGCTAGGTGCCTTTTTTAGTGGTCTTTGCAGCCAGTGTGATGAGCAGCCATGTTTGTTCATTTCCTTCTGTCTTCTAAGCACATTTTCCAGGGTCAGTTGTGTGTACTCTCCACAGGAGGATTTAATTATTTCCAGCCAGCATCGGAAGCAAGCTGTTGTCATCCTCTCCATACTGCATGGGATACCTGTGAATTATGCAATATAGGATCAAATTTCCAAGGCTGTGGGGGGAGAAGGGACATAAGGGCTGGGTATCAGTATTTCTGTGCAGGCCTCTTCTCCCTCCCCCTTCCCACCCCTTTCTCAAGGATGCCAAAAAATTTTTGTGGGCCACTTAAAATGGAAGAGGGAAACCCGTTTGGTTTCTACCTATAAAAGCCTCTGTTTAACTATAGGGTGGATGTGCTTCCAGGTGTGGCCTTTATATTATCCACCATGCTGATATTTAATGACTACATTCTATGCTGCTTTTGGCAGGTGTGGAACCCTCCTTTTCTCTTGAACTAAATGCAATTTACGGAGTTTCAGGACTGCCCATGAGCGTTTAGGAGAAGGGAGGGCAAGTTGTCTTGGTCTGATCCTGGACGGGGAAAACTCTGAAAATCTGGTCACGGTGGGCCTGGGACAAATTCTGATCTGACTAACTTGAGTGTTAATTTAGGATGACTCCCATGAAACCAGTAGTTACTCCAC